CTAACGGTCGTACCCCCCCCCCCCTTGTCTTAATTATTATTATTTTTTTTTAATTTCTTTTCTTTTTTTTTCGTGTTTTATCCAATTTTGCTCCAAATCTCTTCATCTTCATACCGCTTTATTCTTACACAATTAAAATATAATATTAAGCATAATGTAATATAATTAACACTCAAAAGACGATTAAAAGTACTAGAAAGTGAGGTAACAATGGGAAAATATATGCATTTTTGGCCGAACATCAGGCATTGATAGCTTTCCTTCTACAGATCTTGATGACGCGAGTTTACTCCTTGATTGTTGGTCCTTTTGAAAATAGCAGCTTGTCGTTGCTCTTCCTTGATGAGAGGGCATTGATAGCTTTCCTTGTACAGGTCGTAATAACTCGGGTTTACTCCTTGATTATTGGTCCTTCCGTAAATAGCAGCTTGATTGATCATCTTGCAAGATCTTCGATGCTTCTTTTCCATTTCAATCAATCTCTAATTGATTCTCTTTCCGAATCTTTAGTTAGTTGATTGATTCCTTCCTTTTGAGTTCTTTAATCTTGGATGCTTTCCTTGAGTTCCTATATCAAAAACAGTAATATTATTTTTCATCATTTAAAACTAAACCTAACACCTCTTTGGTCATGGATTCGAGCAATCACAGCTACAGTCTGATACACTTGTTACTTGCAAGTTATAGCATCAAAACCTTGGCCTAACAGCACTTTATCCACAGCAAGTGGAGTAGCAAAAGAGCTACTGCAAAGATTTAGACTTGAGCAGCTCAATTGATAAGATTCCCTCCTTGTTAAAGCTCAAGAGGCACAACCCTGAATCGATAAACATCGTTCTTGTAAGTTGTAAATAGGGGCGAATAGGAGAGATTATGGGGCATGTGAACTCCTGGTCTCTCCGCAAAATTAGATATTTTATGTATATATTTTCGAAAATTTGTATAATACTTGGTATCCATGCTCTAAAAAGACTGGATGATGCACTTGGTTAAATGTTGAGTTATTTATCAAGAGGAATATGGATTAATTTCCAATTAATATATTTTTTCCTCCTTTTTTTAATAGTGCACCCATTTATTAGAATCCTAGATTCAAGTTTGAATCAATGTCATTTAGTTTTGCAAGTGTCGCCTCCCAAAAATTGGATATCTTGGGATCGAAATTTTTATCAAGGAAGATACACCAGGGCATTCGCGATGCCAACATCAATTTTAACCTTTAGTGGAAAGTCTAAGAGTTTTGCCTTGTCGTCGGTTGAATGCAGCCACTCATATAAGTTTACATTTAGGCATATTGTTAGGCGTGCGGTCATTCTATAAATGGATTTTGTAAACCAGAAGTCGCTTGTGCCTCTCATAACAAAAGCCGATTAGAGGTAATAATTGCCCGTTTGGCCAAGTTTCAAAAATCAGCTTAATTTGAGAAGTGCTTTTCCTCAGTACTTTTGGTGAGAAGCAGTTTGTGTTTGGCTAATAAACTTGAAAAGCACTTCTGAGCAGCAATTAGTGTTGGGCCAAGCTTTAATAAACTGCTTCTAAGTGAATTTTTTTCAAAAGTGCTTTTCAAAAAAGTGATTTTGGAGAGAAGCTACTTTTTTTTGCTTCTCCAAAACTGCTTCTGCATCTCTTCAGAAGCACTTTTTTTCCTTTTAAAAGCTTGCCAAAAACGTTAATTTTAAGAAAAAAAACACTTTTGAAAAAAAAAAAAAAAAAACGCTTTTACCTCAATAAAAGCTTGCCCAAACAGGCTGTAAGTTCTGATGCCTTAGACTACACAGAGTTGTAATCTTAGAAACAAACTCTTCCTCCAAATTCTCTCAGTCCAGCCATTTGGGACTACTGCTTTGTACAGTTTTCCCAGCATTCCCTTCCCAATGTCATTGTCTTGGCTGAAATATGAAGTTGCATTTACTTTGATAGTTTCGTAAAACTCAATTCTCCAGCTTTAAAATCTGAGGAAAGTAACATATCTACCATTAGTACATTATTTTTTCTTCTCTATAACTAAATTCTGATTAAGTAGCCCTCATCCATTATATTTCAATTTATACGGCGTCGTTTGATTGGGACATAGTTTAAGAAGATAAGAATACTTTTCAAAGCCACAAAACACTTTTGAGTCTATTAAAGCTTGTAGGTTGCGGTCATTCTTGATTGATGTAGCTTCGTCATTTGTTTTGGTACAAATGAGACATAGAACAGTCAAAATTTTGGATGTTGTTAGTGGAGTAGCCAGCCTTCTAGTTATGTTTTCTGTTACTCCATTTAATTTCATGAAGTACTTGACCCAATTTAACAACATTTACCCAATATTCAAAGGATCCAAGGCGATGAGCATACATATCTTCTTTAACTTCTATTCTAACGGACTTAATATCTTTTATAAGTAACGGAAAAATAAATTCGAACTAAACGGTTCAACTAGAACAAGCTAGGTTTACCTCATTTCACCATACCTCAAGAAAGAAAAATAAATATCTCCACCATTAGCTTATACTTTTTGCTAGTAATCAAAAGAGATATAAACAATTTTATGAAAAGAATAAAAGGCATATATATATATATATATATATATATATATATATATATATATATATATATATATATATATATATATATATATATATATATATGTCTTTTA